TGCTCCCTGTCCCATGGACCTTTCTCTCTCGCTGTCACAGATGTTCAGCCCCTGCCCAGCACTGCCTTCCCTGGCTGTCTTTCTCAGTCTCCAACAACTCGAGCTAAATTGTTAGTCCCTCTTGTTTAATGAATGGCCTTTCCTCTCAGCGTTTCCATCACCAGTAATTGCTGATTGCGGAGGATGGGCTGCGTGATAAATAAGCCGGGGGTGCGGGTGCCCCTCGGGCCTCCTGGCTCTGCCTGCCGTCTGCCGGGACCTCGGGGATGCGCTTTCTTGCTGTGTTGGACCCCGGCGTCTCTCAGGAGGACCCCAGTGCCATCTGTCCTGGCCTCCCATCCATAGAGGGCCTTACATTTAGACTTGTGACGTCCTCTCAGATAAGACTAAGGAAACATTTAGAATGTACTGTAATTTGTATGACCGTGTTACAACATCTCAGTTTTTTAACCAGTTGAGAATCTAAAACAAGCACTAGAAGTGGCCCAAAGGGCCTTCTAAGCCCAGGCCCTGGTTTTAACTAAAGGCCCCTGGTCCTGCTAATGTCCCCTAAAGCAGGAATGATTTGGGTCCCCCTCCGGAGACATTTGGCGATTCCGGGTACTTTTTTTTTTTTTAATCCTCACCACAAGATTTTTTTCCATTTTTTTTTTCAGAGACTGGAAAGGAGGGCAGGGGAGGGGAAGAGAGACAGAGGAGAGAGAGGTAGAGGGAGAAAGAGAGAGAGAAACATCAGTGTGAGAGAGACACATCAATTGGTTGCCTCCTGCATGCGCCCTAACCTGCAAGCCAGGTACATGCCCTTGACCGGGAATCAAACCCAAGACCCTTCAGTTTGAGGGCTGGTGCTCTAACCATTGAGTCACCAGCCAGGGCAGTTCGGGGGCATATTTGGTTGTGACACTGGAAGGAGGGGTGGGGGAGCTGTGACAGGCATCTAGGGGGCGGGGGCAGGGATGCTGCCTCACATCCTCCCACGTACTGCATGGCTCCCGCCCCCAAGGATCGCCCTGCCCGTGGTGTGCGTAAGGCGAGGCCGAAGCTCCTGCCCTGAAGGCGTGGCCTCTGTTACAGGGAGAAGATGGCCTTTTTCACGCGGCCGCGGATGAACATCCCCACCCTCTCCGCAGACGACGTCTGAGCTCCAGAAAAGTATTTCCTCTGGTCCGGGGACCCTGCCGTGAGCAGAGACTGTGGCCGCGTTATTTATGTGGTTATATGAAGGTTCTGCGTCCCACGTCCTCTAGCGCTCCTCTGGTTTGAAGATGAAGATTTTTTTTAGTTTGGGTTCTATTATTTAAGAAGAAGAAGAAGAAGAAAATACAAAAAAAAAACAAAAAAAAAACCACAGCATTAAAACGACAAGATTGTATAGTTTGTATATTTAGGAATGTATTTTTGAGAAAGAAAATTTAAATGAACTAAAAGCAGTGTCCAGTTGCTGCTCTTCTTAAAATAAAATGGTTTAGATTTTTTCTTTTTTTTTTGTACAGCTCTGCCTTCTAGAGGTTTCATGCAATAAGTCAGTCATGTTTTGGGGACGGTCACCCTAAAAGGACGCCCCGCAGACATCACAGCACAGCTGACCTTTCCTACCTAACATATTTTGTACAATATTTTAAAATGCACAGCCAGCGTTTGGCGGATTCTGGGGTGTGCCTGTGAATCTTCACGAGCTGTGACGTGTTTTTACGCGGCCGCCTGAGGTGGAGCTGGCCACAGGCCTGCCCACGCTGTCTCAGATGCCCAGTGAAGCCACTGACGTGAGTGAGGGAGGGCTTTTCATTTTATCTCCATCAATAAAGTGGCCTTTCTGAACGAATCTCCTCTCTCTCTTCCTCCCCCGCCCCCCACACCACCCCTCACTTCACCTGTGTTTCCCTGATTTTTGACTCTCTCCCTCCCAGTCCTTCCCTTCCCACCCATCCCCCGTCCAGTCCAGGTGATAGTCTCTTTGTTTTGGCTTGGTTTGGTTTGGTTTGGTTTTTTGCTCACCCCTCCACTCATTTGCTCATTAAATGAAAATGACTCTTGCAGACCATTGGAAGTCCGTCCTTAACAAACAAGCAGCAAAACCTCTTCCTCCACCCATTCCCTGACATTATTCTGTGCAACCTTCCTCCCAGGGTGTGGCACCAGCAGCCATGGCACAATCACTTGGGCCAGCTTGTTACAAACACACATCCCCGGACCCTCGCCCTGCCGGGATGGGCCCAGCACTTGCTTTTATCCATGCCTCACTGTCAGCCCAAAGCACACCGCCGTTTGATGGACCCGCTGGTATATAACATGAGAAGCCCAGGCAGAGATGGAGCATCCTGTTAGAACATCACTCAGGGGACACTAACATGCATGGCCCTCTGCAGGCCACGGAGGACCCTCAGGGAGGTGTGATGAGGGAGTGGAGCCCTTCGCTTGGCTGCGGAGGCTTTCCCCCACCTCCCACTGCGTTCTTTACCTGCTGCTTCTCCTATGGAGAAGGTACCTACAGTGGCATAAAATCCACCATTATTCCCCACATGGGATCCCAGCTGGGCCAGTCAGAGCCCTTCCCGGCATTAGCCACCTGAAGATTAAAGAGTAGATTTTCTTGCCCAGCTGGCATGGCTCAGTGGTTGAGTGTCAGTCCATGCACCAAGAGGTCACTGGTTCAGTTCCGGGTCAGGGCACTTGCTCAGGTTGTGGGCTCGATCCCCATTAGGGGGCCTGAAAGAGGCAGCTGATCGATGTTGATGTTTCTTGTCGGTGTTTTTCTCTATCTAAAATCAATAATTTTTTTTTTTTAAGTAGATTTTCTCTTCCCAAAGCTACCCGTAGCCATGGTTCAACTTCTGGGTCCAGCCCTGCAGAGAGAAACAGATGGAACAAGCGGGGAAAGCGGGGGGCGGGGTACCCTTGGGATCTGAATTGACTGACACTTGAAGTTCACTGCATCCTCGTGTGTCTGTAGTCTGCCTGGTGGCCCGAGTGGAGAGTGCCCAGTAAAAACTCGAGGGTTGTGCAATGGGATTCCTTCCCTCGGCCACACCTTTCTCTGTGTCCAGCATTCCAAGCCATGGTCAGCCCCTCACCCCCCTGTGGCAGCAGCTGCTGAGACGCAGAGCTCCGACCGCCCTCTGTGAGTGGCAAAGGCTACGTGGAACACATCCTCCTGCCCGAGAAGTGTGTGCCAGTGTTGCAGAATTCACCAGGCGACCGGAAAGTACACAATGACTACTTTCAGGGAGATTCAGGGAAAACCCTTTATTTAAAGCAGCGCTGCTGGCTCAGGCTTTGAAGATCCAGAGCCTGAACCCCTTATACAATGAGACTACTCCTTATATATATTCCTACATTTCTTTGTTTCCTATCTGTTTCCTAGCTACCCGGCTTTTGTGGCAGGCTTTCACAGCCCCTCCTGAGTCTGTCAGAATGGGGAAGTTAGAATGTATCTACTAGTAAATGCCTGGCCTGGGTGGTGCCAGCGACCCCCACTCTGGCCAAGCTGCCAAATTCCCCGCCCATGGCCCCTGCAAGCTGGGAGCACCCAGGAAAACAGACCATTGCCTAAGGAATGCCAGATTCTCGGCCTGTGGCTCCTGCAAACTGGGAGCACCCAGGAAAACAGACTATTGCCCAAGGAAGGGGCAGTGACTTCATTCTAGGCTAACGATGTGCACTAGGACACCGGTCACTGGCACAGATTCAGATTGCTAGTGCCCCCTCCAAGGTTGCCCCCTATATTCCTCCTCACCAGTGCTGTTTGGGCTGATGGAGCATCTGTGGGGAGAGCCAGACCACCTCTTCCGAAGACAGAAGGCCCTGTGTCTGCCCTGGCATTGAAGTCTCTGTAAACAGTCCCTGGCCAAACACCAATCCATACATCCTGTTGTATGCAGAATAAATAAAGTCACTGTACACACAATTGTGCACACGTGTTCTCCAGAATCTTCAGGAAACAGGAGCTTAGAGATGTGAAATGCCCTGCTCAGGGTCACTCGGATAATAAATGGCCAGAGCTAGGGCACAACCCGCTCTTCGGACTCCCCAAGTTTCTGTATCTTTCAGTTCTGGTTTCTGTTTCACAGTGTTGTGGTCACGTGAGGCCCGAATCGCAGGGACTTTGGACATTTGGTTTTCAGGAATGAAACCATGAAATCCTGTGGTTCCTCTGCGTGGGGGTATGGAGAAAGGGGGTGACTAGGATGCTAGCTGAGAAAACCTCACTGGATCTGATTGTCTCGTTCATAAAACCAATTGTTGCCTTTTGACTACAAATGTTTTTAAAATATACTTATTTACATTGATTGGGGTGACATTGATCAACATGAACATACAGGTTTCAGGTGTGGGTTTCTATGTTGCACGATCGGTTTATTGCACCCTGTGCCCACCATCCAAAGTCAAATCTGTCACCTTTTTTTCTTCTTCTTAATTCAACTGCAAATCTTTTGCAATTGCCATTGGCCCCGGAGGTCAGCTGCGTCCTGGCTCTATTTGTAGTGTGCCTGGTGAACCGAGGCAAGAATGCTCGCTGGCAATCTTTGTGCTTCCTGCCTATAAGAAAGCAACCTCCATGAGAATGCACAATAAATGCTTGGTGAGTACCTAAACAGATCGTATAGTTCGGTGCCCATTTCACAGACGGGTAAACTGAAGACTTTGAGAGACAGAAGCTGTAGGTAAGCGCCTCTCACTACCCTAAGTCCGTCCAAGCACACAGAGCAGCTCGGGTCCGAACCCCATTTGCCCTCCCGCAAAAGCCCAGTCTCAGGACGGCAGCCCCAATCCCAGACGACTTCCCGCGGGTTCTCCCCGCAGTGCGTCCTGGATCCCGCCAGGGGGCAGCAGAGGCGGCGGCGGCGGCACCCTGTCAGCCTCGAGATTTCCGCTTCCGGGAAGTGCTGGCCGTTTCCGCTTCCGGCTACTTGTTGCGTGAGACGCTGACAAGAGGATGGACGGGCTGGTGGCTCAGTGCTCCGCGCGGCTGCAGCAGCAGGTCGGGCCGCAGGGGGTCAGGGGGAGGGCGTGGAGGGGAGGGAACGG